GGGCTGGATGTACGGCGGGATGGCTGTGCGACTTGCTTTCGACATTGGGTACGTATTACTGAAGGAAGACTCGGCAATGTACTGACATATACATAGTCTTCATCTCGACACACGACTCTCCGGTCTCCCAGAACGCGAGGTCGAAATTCGTCAAATGACTCTTTGGGCATGCGTCATCTACGACAAATACTGGGCACTTTTTCTGGGCCGTCCTACATCTATGAAACCCTCCGACCTCGAAATATACAACCTGACGAAGCAGTTCGAACGCCTTGGTACCTGTCGTCCGGCTGGGCTGGGAAAGAGCATGGAGACTATGATCTACGAAGCACTCCTCGATCTTATGGAGCTCGCAGGAAAGATCACCGAGAATATGGATCCGCATCGCTCGCAAAACGCTGCTTCCGACTCACACACTGCCGTGGACCGAAATCAGTACATGCGCATGGCAGCACTAGATCGCGAGTTCAGCAGCTGGTATGCCAGACTGCCCGAGCAACTGCGCTGGACACCAGCCAACATTGCGACGGCTCCGTTCTCGTTCTTCCTGTTGCATCAGCAGTACCATGCCAGCTTAATTTTGCTACACCGGCCGTTCGCACTGTATGAAGACCAAGCGGGCAATGAAAGTGGACCTGACGACCATTTCTCCGCACTGAGTAGGACAGTATGCACGAAACACGCTATTCGCGTGGCGAGAATATACTGGCAACATCGACAACGCTTCGATACGAAGCAGATCTTCGTTACTGGAATGCAACATGCGGTATGTAGCAACTAAAACTTTTGGTCTCTCTCACTGACAATCTTCCGTAGGGCACAGCGGCGACCGCTCTCGTAGCAGCCTTGGCGTTCATAAAAGATCCTACCTCCAGAGCCAACAACATGCAGTACCTCGAATGTCTATCGGCCGCGCTTTCCGACATGGCATCCACCTATCAACCTGCGGAACGAATGTCTACCGTGCTCCGTGCGGTGATGGTAGAGCTACGCGGCGGCCCCGAGCCCCCCAACTCTTCGTTCAACTTGTACAAGCCCGCATCCTCGACAGTACCCGCGCGAAGAGGCAGCACAATAGATATGGACGCCGACATGAACGACAACCAGCAGTGGGCCAAGAAAAGGCAGACCAGCAGCGGAAGACCTAGAGCCGGTACAGGTGGAAACAGAAAGACGAGAACGATGAGTATGAGTACCACAATGAGTATGCCATCTGATCAAGGGAGACATGGGCTCAGCATCAAAGCTCCTCCGCCACCCCGGTTCGACGACCCAATTCAAAACAACGATGGGTACGTATTGGTGACACCACGTTCAGAACTCGGTAGTGTTGGCTGGCCCAGCATATCGGAACCTCCTGAGCTCTCACACAACATGTCCACCCCCTCCACCACCCTTTCTTCTTCACACATGAACCGGAACTCTGGGGCCTGGATGGGCGCAGACTTTGATCCTCACGATCCGATTTCACAACTTGCTAATGCGCATTTCCCTGAGCTGAGCGCGTTTGATGATCTTGGTACGGGTGGTAGTGGTGGTGTTAGCGGCGGTCCGATTGATGGGGTGAATCTGGATTTCATGCCACTGGGAGATGGAAACGAGTGGAGTCTGCCCAAAGAATGGAACGGACCGAGTGATATGGATGGGTTGAGTGCTTTTGATATGTAGTGTGTGCTTGCGAGCCGCGAGTTTATCTGATAAGGAACTGTGTTAATCCTCCTTGATATCGATGACGGCATCTCTCCCCATACTACCGTTCTTCTCTTTACTATGGTCCGAGTGCTCGTCATCGGCTACAACAGTCCCCAATCGCGTCAGCCCACTTTCCCTCCCCTCTCCCATCCTCTCCACCATGCGCTGAATATGCGGATGCGACGGCGCAGGTCTCTGACTTGATCTCCTCCTTCCCATGCCCACCCCAACCCCCATAGGCATATGCTCTGCCCCTCTAAGTCGTAACCGCATACCCTCTTCCGTCGACATGGTCCTATCTACGCGTCTTGGGGGCTCCAAGTCTGTGTCATTCGGGATCTTTAATTGCGGCCTCGGTCGTAGCCATCGCCACAATTCTTTCGTTTTCTGGGCCCAGATACTGTAGCCGTATTTCGTGGAGAGGAAGCCGATTATGCTGAAGAAGGGAATGCAAATCGTCACCAAGACGATGGCGAATGGCGTGAAGTTTGCTGGACTTTCGGGCATGTTTGTCATGCCGAAGACGGAAGTTACGAATGTGAGAGGCTGCCGATTAGTTAGTTGACTGTTTTGCGCGAGATCCAGAGACTTGATCTGTTCACGTACCATGAAGAAAAGATTGACGATGGTCAAGACTTTGATGTTGTACCCTTGGTGCACGGTGACATCTGCTAGCTCAACGGACTTCCTGGACTCTTGGATGCTAGTACCAGAGAACAACTGCTCCTGCAATGTTTCAATCTCATGCCGTCTTTCATTATTTTCCGAGATGATGATCCTAAGCTCTTTCATTTCCCGTTCGAATTGAAGCCGCAATGTCCGCAAACGGCGCTTCCAGTGATCGTTGCGTGGCGATTCCTCGAAGAGCGGCCAGAGCGTCTTGTTCTGGCCTTCCCAGATATCGTCGGTGAAACAGTCTTCGAAAGCGTCGATCATGGATTTGATGCTGTTGTTGACATTGCCCAAGGTTTGATGTGCGTAGAAGTATCTGCGGATCCAGGTGAAGTCTTTGTCCTCGAACAGTCGGGCTCGGCGCAACTCTTCGCTAAACAGGAAGCCTAGCGGTGGAGTAACTAGGTCGGTGATACGCTTGTAGATTTCGTCGAATCGCTTCCTAGCATCCCGATATTCCGTCAGCAAAGCATGGAGGAATGCCTCCGCGCCATTGAGATACTTGTGGCCGGTTTCGAATGTATATGGCGTTCCATTAGCTGGTGTCGACTTCCAGTCCGGGAAACTCTCCAGCTGTAAGACTTGCCATGGCGACCAGACATCGTGCACCCATCCGAACTGTGTCTTCGCACGTCTTCCCCTATTACGGATGCGGCGTGGTTTGTCGTCATAAAGGACAAGCGCAACGACAGCACTGCACCGCGAAAGTGGTATATGATGATCAGACTGACCCGTTATTTTGTCCGCACGCTGCCATTGCATGGGTTGACAGTCATCTCCCACGATGGTATAGTATTCGAAGTTGAAGAAAAAGGTCCTTTGGTGTTTAGGATTCTGATTGAAGGCTCGGAACATATGCGCTGATGAAGCTTCTGTTTCGACTAGATGCTGGAATAGTTCGTCCATGTCAAAAGCATCATTAAGCGTCAGATGAAGTGCACCAAACAAGATTGGTGAAGGTTCTCGCGCTATGGTGATACGTCCAACCACTGTTTGGTCCGGCTGCTTGCCAACGTCTCTCAGTGCATGCCAAATCTCAGTTGCGCGGCTCATGTTGTTTTCGGGGCCAGTCACTTCAATAAGCTCAGGCAGACCGTTGGTTCCGACATTGTACACTTGGAAATGTGAGTAATGGCTTCGGTCATCTGCTGGCCCGGGCCCCATGTGGAAGAGATGAGATTGTTTGGTGAGCTTCGCGGGATCAGAAATGATCGAGGCCAGAATCTCTCTGCCATGTTCAGTCCAGTTATGCGTCTTCAGATGTTCGCGCAAATGTTCGTGGTCGAACGAATGGGACGGTAATTCGTTCTGGACAAAATAGTCGTCTTCTTCATCGCTGCTGTCGTCAGATAGCGTCGAGGTATCGGCGAAGATAGCATCGCCTCCATGTCGTGTGGATGTGCGGCGAAGTTGTGAGGCGTCGGATGGTTTGAAGGTGTCGTTCGTTGCTGATAAGCTTTTCAGTAGCGCCTCATGGGAGCGCTGGAGCGACTCTAGCTGCTTCCGAAGATCGTCAATCTCAGTCGTTGCCATCTGTAGTGTTCAAAGCCGTGCGACCCGACATGCGATAGCTATTCTCGAAACCGAACTTTACAGAAGGTTCTGCTTATGTCGTGTAGGATTGTTAGGATCCGGCCCCCACACTAGCGCTGCAGGAAGCCCAGCCTTTCAATTCAGCATTCGAGTTTCCCATCCAATCTTCATCGATGCCAAGGTGGAGCTAGGGTGGAGCTGGGTCCAGAGCCGCGATCAGAAGAGGGTCCATTGGCCTAATGCGTAAATGCACACCGGTTGTATGAAGGAGTTGTGAGGAAAGTATGCAACACGCCTGCTTAGGGTCGCTCACCGCCCTTTTCCAATTGGACATGCTCAAATCGCAAGCCAGTTCAGATCGAGCAGTCGAGCACGAGGGCTGTCTCCAACAAAGTAAAGATGATTCCGTGTCGCGGGTAGAGGCTCTCCGGGTAGCTCTGCTGCTTTGTTGAGATCTCGGGAGCGGGGAGCAGAGCCGGCGCGACCGCCCGCATCACGTGACCACCACCGAGCTGACTTCTAGACTTCTCAGTATAGTCACATTGTCGTCATTTTGCCCAGGTGAGCATTTGCGCATCTCGTAGACGACGCGACTTACTTTGCGTTTTGAGACGCGTCGGGCCACGATGTCGTTTTTCTTCGGTCGCGTCATCGGAGCTCGCTTGTCGATTGCCAAATTTCCTTTGCCCGTGATCTTCGTGACACCAGCCCCCAACATTGCCCACGTGAATTGAGAGGGCATGATGCCTACCCTTTCCACTTTTCTTTCGGTATCGCTGCCTGTGATTCTGGCTGCTCTAATTTACCAGCTAGGGCTGCCGGCTTTCATCAGCGAATACGTACCATCCACGTTGCTTCCAAATCTCTTCGTACCCACACACTGCTACAAGTCTGTCAGAACACTTTCGTCGGAGTTCCCGCATGCCGAGTGCTTTACCATCCACGACGGCAAATTCTCCAGTGTCTTCGTAGACAATGCAGCCCCTAATACGGTCAAGGAATCCCGCACAGGTTATGTGTATCCTGGTTTTTGGGATGGACACGGTCACTTGATCCAGTTTGGAGAATCTCTAGATTCAGTGAGCCTCTTTGGCGCCGATTCAATGGACGAGATCAAGAGGAGACTGTTGAATTATAAGAACGTCCGTCCAGAAAAAGGAAATAGTGAACAGTGGCTACGTGGCGTCGGTTGGGACCAAGCTCATTTTGAAGGGAGGTGGCCGACTGCAGTACGTTGGACCTGATGAACGTAGACGCGCTGTAACGACCGTGCTGATACTGACACTTCATCTAGGCTGATTTGGAGATAGATGAGAGGTTTAAGGATCTTTATGTTATGCTTGATCGTGTTAGTTGTCCGTGCGAAATGGGAGCGACACATATACTGACTTCGCGCAGGTTGATGTTCACTGTATCTGTGAGTCAGCCCTGCAAATTGAGCATGAGGTTGATCTAATCCAGTGGTTTCATCTTAGGGGTATCTGAAAAGGTGCTTGACCTTCTTCCGTCGTTCAGTATACCTCCCGGCGGCGAAGTGCCGGCAAAGGGTGTCTTCTGCGACAATGCCATGGACATCGTCCTGGAGTATTACCCAAAGCCGACCAAAGCGCGCAAAACCGAGTTCATTAAGACTGCGATGGCAGAGTTGAACAAATATGGAATTGTTGGGATGCACGATGCCGGCGTAGTGCCGGCAGATTTGGAGCTATACGAAGAGCTCGCGAACGACCCGGACTGGACTGTGAGAGTTAATGCGATGATCGAATGCGATGTCCGAAACACGTTTTGTCCCGAGGCGGTCAGGAAAGTTTCGACTCCAAATGGCCGATTTCATGTGAAGAGCGTCAAGCTTTTCGGAGGTTTGTATACACGGCCCACTCTCAACAAGTTACTTACAATGTGCAGATGGGGCTTTGGGCTCCTGGGGCTCAGCTATGATTGAGCCGTACAGCGACAAACCGGAGTCCTCCGGCTCTTTACTTGTCAACGCGACTACGCTGTCGCGTGTGACATATGATTGGGCCGTAAAGGCAGGGTACCAAGTTAATATTCATGCTATTGGGGATCTTGCTAACAGGCTTGCGGTTGACGCGTTTGAAGCGGCGTTGAAACGCTTGTGCCCCCACGCTAACCTCCGCGACTGTCAAGCTAAACGTCGTTTCCGCATCGAGCACGCCCAAATCATCCACCCAGATGACCAGCGCAGGATGTCAGAACTTGGTATCATTGCGTCAATACAGCCCACGCACGCGACCTCGGACATGGGTTATGCGGAGAGCAGGCTTGGCCAGCAACGAACAAAAGATGAGGCGTACCGAATGCGGTCGCTCTTACCACTTCGTCCAGTCCTCGGTAGCGACTTCCCAGTCGAACCCGCGAGTATCTTCGAGGGAATGTATGCGGCAATCACGCGACGAAGTCCACGTACCGGACTGGACCCTAGCGGTGGCAAGGCTGGCTGGTATCCCGAAGAGAGCCTCACTTTCGAACAAGCTTTAAAGGGTTTTACGGTAAACGCTGCATATGGTGCCTTCTTAGAAGGCAAAGCTGGTGTCATCGAAGCGGGGGCGTATGCTGACTGGGTTGTTCTCGACGAACAACTTGAATCACTGGACCCAGAAGCATTGAGGAAGGTGACAGTGAAAGAGACGTGGGTGGGCGGCAAGCGAGTCTATTGACGGCCCGGCCATGAAGATCTTGTTCGGTAGAGAGGTTGAGCGGCGAGATCTCCCTCGACCGGCCAACGCCTGACATCAGCTCGGCAAGCCATTGATGCAGCACACTCGACTGGACGGCTCCGGCGGCCGTCAATCAAAAGTTTTCGAGAAAATTCGAGCGGTAGGCTGCCGGCAGGAGAGGGGTCATTGATCTGCATACTGCCGCCAGGGCTTGAGGCTGCGGGTCATAAAGTGTCCCTGCTATTTGAATCACCTCTATAGGTGTGCCTTCAACCCTTTATGCCCAACTTGCATTCAACCCCACACGTTTGTACTACATTGAGCGTAGATCCCGCTTGTATGTCGGGCCACCCCTAGCACAACTCACTATCCCACACGACCATCAGGGTACTCAGCCAACCAGACAGACGCCATTACCGCTCAATGCGTTTGACACATGGCAAATGCGAGAAAGAGTTTTCCTAGTCTACACATGCACGCTCGTGTTGATGATTCTCCCGGGCACAGCTGACAATCGCAGTAGCGTATAAAACTTTGCTAAACTGATAGTTTGCATCTTAATCACACACTCAAATACAGCAGTACTACCTGACAACAGGAACAACAAAAAAACACGTATACTCGTACCCCATCATGACGACCATCGAACGTAAACCAGCTGCGGAACTATCCAAACCTACCACCCCTGTCGGGTCTCTTACCGTCACACCCCCAATCACACCGAATGCGACCAGTACCGCGGCGCATCAGCTAGTTTCCGAGATCAGGGACATATACACGGTACTCAACGAACTATCGTCATTAGCGCCGTCGGAGCAAGTCAACTCTCTCCTCACACGACTCGTAAACCTCTGCGTCGTACCTTACAGCGCAGAATTTACATCGTATTTTTTCCGTATACCTGCCATAGAGAGCCTTTGCTCCAATTTGCGACCGCTATGTTCAGAAGCCGAGGGAGAGTTGGAAAAGTTCTGGGCAAAGCGCATGCTCAACGACATCAGCGGTAAGTGCAGCGCAATCACGCATCACGCTTAACTACAGATCTGACTTTCTTTAGGTACAACCACAACATCTGAGGATATTCTGACAACTTTCCCTTACCACCAAAATTACGTCGATCTCTCCCGCTTGGAATGCTCTACCATAGAAGCGTTCCTCCCCAGCCCACCGTCCAAAATCGCTTTCATCGGCTCCGGCCCATTACCTCTGACCTCACTCTGTTTCCTGGACCGCTATCCTAACGCGCAAGTGCATAACGTGGATCGCGATGCCTCCGCGCTTCAAGTCAGTGAATCGTTATGTAAGCGGTTAGGCTATGGCGAGCGCATGAGTTTCGCTTGTGAAGACATTACCGAGGATTCGTCAAACGCCGAATGGCAATCATGCCAGGTCGTCTTCCTTGCTGCGCTGGTTGGTACAGATACGTACACGAAGCTCAACATACTCAGAAGCATGGTTAAGAAGCTGGTCCCAGGTACATTGGTGGTGGCGAGGAGCGCGCAGGGGATGCGAAGTGTGTTGTATCCGGTATGTTCGCACCGACTTCCAGCGCAGTCATGTCAGACAGTAGTCATTAATGAAAACACAGATACTGGAACTGTCAGAAGAACTCCAATCCATCGGTCTCGAGATTCTTGCCGAAGTACATCCGTGGACTAAAGTCGTTAATTCGGTCATCGTTCTACGCGTGAAATGAACAGGAAAGTGGTTCATTGGTACAAGCCGGTTTGAGGTGCATATATGCTAGGTTTAGCAGCTCACATAGTGTATTTGCATAGTTGGCGGCGTATGCGGCACTTCCCACAACGATATGATGAATCGAAACGAAAGGGAAATTCACGAACGGTGTATCGCACGACTGGCCTAAATCTCCTCGATATGTTTACTTGCGCATGACAATCTCAACATGGTGGCGCTAGCTGTTGATTTCAATGTATGCGAATGGCGCTGGCACTATCTCTCTACAATGACCGCGTTCTCCTTTCGGTACTTGGTACGAATAGCATATCATCATCATCAAGTTCATTTGCAAAGCCAAAGTTTAACTGTGACAGTAATTTATTGTGAGACTATTTCACACCAAAAGCGACGGCATATGGTAAAGAGACTTGGTGTTAATACATATAAATATCTTCGCTTCATCGTGAACCAATTGCGCCATACATATTACCGCCGTTTCATAAGAAAAAGTACCTGGGTATCCAACTATCGAGTGGCTCAGCCTCTTTCACACTGGCCTAGACTAAAGACGCAAACGAAATCCTGATTTTCGGCCGTTAAAGACATTCTCATTACCGAGACCGGCGCGGTCCTTCCCCATTCTCCAAGTGTGGACTTGCCCAGTCGATTTCATGGTTATACATCTTGGGGCTCCCGCCGCTCTTGGAGTTGGAACTACTCCCTGCCTCTCCGACATCATTGGTCACCGTGACTTGTACGTCTGTACTCTTCATAATACCAGAGCCTTTTTGATCGTCATCAAGGATGGCCCGATCGCTCTCGTCGTCGCCATCAAGGATGCTTTCGCCGGGTAGCCTAGAGTGATAGGCTTTGCTGCCTTGGAAGTTCTTCATGTGGATGCTGTTTCCTTGTGCGACGCTAGAGTTCCCGTAGCCGTAGTGTGGCGTTTTGCCCGAGCCTGTCAATGTCGATGGCATAAACTTCTTGAAAAGGTGATCGAATGCTTTGCGGAGCGGAGGGAGGGATGCGATGAGGATGCCGATAGAAAGTTCGGAGCTGGACCATATGGTGAGGTTTACGCCGTCCCACGTTGGATCTTGCGTCTTGGTGATGGCCTTGAGTTCGATAGTCTTGAAGATTGAGCATATCGTGGCACTATGAGACGTCAGTGGCGGCTCACTCACATGGACTACAGAGGTGTTACTTACGGGATACTCAGCAGGAAAACGATCCTGATACCCAGTTGAGTTCGACTGTTCAACTGGACGCGCGAAAGGTAGATCAGAGGCGCAGCCATATACACTACGTCGGTGATGATGTTGCTGATACCCTGGGTATAGGACAGTGCGAGTGTGCCCTTTGCCCAGCAATGGCTCTCCCCGGTAAACCCGAAGTTCCAGTTCCGTTCCAGGGGTGTGCATCCGAATAGCGTCAGGACTGGTGCAAGGAAGTTGAACGCGGTGACCATCAAGATCGAGAGCCAAACAATAACTTGGTACAATCTGGAGAAGTTCAAGACAAGCAGCCAAGCGCAAATGGACCATTTCAGAAAGGCGACGGCAATGATGTCTGAAAATCATTCGTTAGCAATAGAAAGGCGGGAACGCGAAGTTGCAAACTTACTGACGATCTGTGTGATCCAAAGGTGATAGCTGTATGCTCTGAGATTCGGAAAGACCGTCGGGTCCATGATGTGGCGCCCGAGGCCATTGTTGACGACGACCTGGTTCAGTGATGTCGCTGTGATGTTCAGAGCCTGATGGACTCGTGTCAGCGACGAATTCCACACAGTCGGGACGATCTTCGGGCTGGGGGAAGACTCACAGTGGCTATGATCAACAGGTAATCACAGGCAATGAATTTGCGTGATCGCAGTCCGTACACGACTCTCCATACCAAGAAAGCGGTACTAATCACCGTTAAGGTCCAAACTGGGATGAGGATCTTCAAGCGTTGGTCCGGCCATTCTTGTGTACCTGCGTCCATGATGCACTGCAGCGGGGTCGTTCGAGGTGCGGGCGGAATGGCATGGATCGCAAAAGTCACAATCGGTGAACAAGAGGAAAAAGCAAACAGCCACTCAATGATCGGGAGTGCCCCGGGGTTTTCAAGTATATTCCTTCGCGCCACTCATCTCTTGCGTCGGCCGTTCTGGTTCAAGACGGGCGAAGCGAAAGCTAAACAGCACGGTCGCGGGTGACGGGAGAAGGCCGCCAGATCGATCACAGAAGGTGCACTCGCTCGAGACCAACTTTCGAAACAATCCAACACGGGGATATCCAGCTGTACATCCTAGGGTGACGGCCGCCGAGCTGATCTGGCAGTGATGCCGCATAAATTGAGGCCCCACATGCTGCGTATTTAACCCTTTATCACCCAATGAGAACGGCATCTAGGGTGGGCGGGAAACCATGATTCAAGCGTACACTTTAGAAGTACAACCGAACAGGTCACACCATGTAGAGTTGCGATTGTGGCTATGTGTGCGCATGAGAACTTTTGCATAGGACGACGCATCTTGTAGATCTTGTTGCAGATCTCAGGCCCGCCTACCATGGTCGCAACGCTGGTGGAACACTGGAAGGGTGCATTAAACCGACGGTCAGAGAGCGAACGTGCGATCTTGCATCGTCTCACGGTGCTCGGGGTTGCCGCATGGACGTTGCGCAATCTTTCGTCTATCGCCCCATGAGATGGGAATGGTGGAAGAGGTGGTAGCGAGTGCAAGGCCAAACAGCGCTAGAGGTGCTAGTGCGGTTAGCGCATGAGCTAAATGCAGGGCGAATTCTCCGCATACTCAAACTCACCGGTGGAGCGAACCGAAGCCACCTTCCACGGCACTAGCTGCCCAAGATCTTCTTCTCTTTCTAGCGCTCTACCTAGTGACAGAAAGAACATTCTATTATGTGCGCTGCGACATTCTCTATCGTCGACCTGCAAAGTGTCGCAATGTCATGTCAACGTGCGGCTGAGCCCAAAGAGAAGATACTTCACACTCCTTCCTCGGGCTCTCCTCGTTGGCCCGCATGTGTGGGCCGATGCACAGCAGCAATCGGGCCTAAGGCTCAGTCTACAGGGAAGAACGCAGAATATTGAGCTGAAGGGGGCCGGGTCTTTACTACTCCGCGGGCCGCCTGACTCAGTATCCTGACGCAGCTCCAGCCGTGCAGAGGGGAATCCATGGTGCGCCCATGAGAATATGCCTTTCCGAAATTCATGTTGCATCTGAGTTTCGACTACGACAACGTGGACATCGCCGCGCTGGCATTCCTCACCGTGGACGAAGACACCATAAAGCTATCGATACGACAGAAGAGAAG